ATTCATCGCTCTACGGGGCGCTCGTTGTGCGAGGCACCACTGTATATATATAATTTTTTAAAAGGAAAATATGAATGATTCAATATCTAATGTGTGGTTTTGTGTTATGCACCGGTCCTGAGGAAGCCTTCGCCGAAACGTGTTGAGCCAGAGATTTTAACAACTCATTTAAAGAAATACAGAATAAAGAGCTTGTTTCTACTTTCTACATGCTGAGACTTCATCTCTCATTTATAATCTGGACTTCCATGGATGTACCAGTAGCTTCCTTTAGCCATTACATGCAGAGAAGCCCTGTACTCAAATCTGTTTATTTTGCATAGTTCATACAAAATTTAGCCTATCAGCAAACAGATCTGGATTGAAACGTTTCTCAGTTGAAGAATATCCATGTGCTTTCCACTGCGAGGAAACCTTAGATTGTGTCCAGAGAGAACTGCTATAGCATATGGCAAATGGGTTACGAGCCTCTGTGGGACCACATGAAGCCCTGTGGAGGGCCAGGGACCTTGGGAAAGGGTTATTTATTAAGTGAACAGGGAGCGATGGCTGGAGGGTTGAACTCAGGCTGGTGGAACCTGGTTTCAGGTCCTTGGGCCAGCCCTGTTGCCCTTTGGCCTGACACCCCCCACAAGGTTAGTGGTAAGGATGAAATGGGGGGGGGAGAGAAACATGCCCCCCTAAGCTGACTGGAGGAAAGGGGAGAGACCCCTAATAAATAAATAAGCTCAGCGGTTGTGTCCGTGTGTTTTCTTAAGGTTTTAATTTTTCATCCTCTGGAAGAGAAGACGTGGACGTGAGAACACTGGGAAACGGTAAGCTCATCTCCCCCCTCCGAATACCGACAGCGCCATTTATGGGCTTAGCAGAAGAGCTTGGGTATCATTCCTTGAAAACAACCCGCCCCCCCGGGACATCATTCCCGTATTTCTGTGCAGACATTCTTGTACTGGCTGAATTCAGGGCCCCTCAAGCTGCAAAGACAGCAGCTTTTAAGTGCTTTACTTTGAATTATGTTATTTTTTTAAAAAAGACTACACGATCAAAATGATAATTTTCTTTCTGGTTCGTTGAAAATTTGTATGTGTAATTTTGCAGTAGACAGGAAACAATGTTGAATGCTTGTTCTTTGTTTGAGAAAAATGCTGTGCTTTTTTTCTCTATCAAACAGTGCCCATTTCTTTTCTATCTTAATTTGTTTCCTGAATGGTGACGGATGTTTTCTGTGAGTTCTCCCTTGCCCCAACCTATGCACAGCCAGGGATTTGGTTTACAGTCACATGTGCTTATTTCTCCTCCCCCCCCACCCCAATTTCTCTTCTCTCTCTGTGGGTTGTCCCATGGTGGATAGGAAGGCCTTTCGCCATTGAATTGGTGAATCCTCGGAGAGTCTGTTTCGACACAGCAGAAATGAAGGCACTTCAGCAGGTAAATAGTTTGTGAGGTTTTGAAATGTTTTTTTAAGCACACTTGAGTTTTCCTTCCAAGCACCCACTGTTAACCGGGGTGCCCTAAATAGAGTACAGTGGTGCCTCGCTTAACGGGTTTTCCTTCCAAGCACCCATTGTTAACCGGGGTGCCCTAAATAGAGTAATTCTATTCTTACTACTGTTAAAACAACTGAAAACCCACCGTTGTTATGGATCAACTGCAGGTTGCTGCCACAGATTTACCTGTGGATTCAGATACACCTTTCGTCCCTTTTCTGCCCTCTAGGCCTCCGGAGAGTAGCCAGGTGGGTGATCCCAAGAGCCTGAATTCCACAGGACACAATAAAGCTACAGCAAACATTGCAAAGATTGTACACACTTAGATTTTTGCCACAGTCAATTTCTTCATTGGGCATTTAGTGGATAAAATTTATTTGTGATATGTGTTATTTTGTAATCGTTTTTTTTTTAAATTAAGGGTAGAATCCTATTGCCAGTTTACACTTAACGTTAGCATCTCAAAACTGCACAGATGGAAGGGACCTGATGGATCAAGGAAGCTCCGTGGGGGAATCAAACTCCCAACCTCTGGCTCTGCAACCAGAGACCTAAACCGTTGATACACTTAACATCAGCATCTCAAAACTGCACAGATGGAAGGGACCTGATGGATCATCAAGTCCATCTCCTGTCAACGAAGCTCCGTGGGGGAATCAAACTCCCAACAGGAAGCTCCGTGGGGGAATCAAACTCCCAACCTCTGGCTCTGCAACCAGAGACCTAAACCGTTGAGCTATCCATCTTCATCATCATCTCGGAACCCAGGAACCTTATGGAGCATCAAATCTGTGCCTCCCAGACAGGGGCTGGACTCAATGATCCATAGGCAAACTCCCAACCTCTGGCTCTGCAACCAGAGACCTAAACCGTTGAACTATCCATCTTTATCATCATCATCTCAGAACCCAGGAACCTTATGGAGCACCAAATCTGTGCCTCCCAGACAGAGGCTGGACTCAATGATCCATAGGGTCCCTTCCAGTTATGCAGTTCTAAGATGATGAGGATGATGTACCAAAAATGGGTGTTCTTGGCCTGGTTTCGGTCCCCCCCCCCTTTTGTAAGAAGATGATACAGTTCTATCAACCTGTAACTTGAGATCACTCTTGTTGACTGTCAGCATTTTAACAGAGACGCTGTTGGACAGATTGTTAAATTTTATTCCCCCTCTTCTGTTTTCGTTTTGAATATCTGCAGACTATCAATAGCTCATCAGACAAAGTCCAAGTTCGTGACTTGCAGCTTGTCACAAGGTCAGTGTTGGGATTCTCAGATAAAGTTATCTGTAAGGAGTTTGATAATAGCAGCTACCAGAATTACGCAATGACACAGGAATCCTTTCTGAGAGCATTTTTTAAGGCACAGGGCAGAACTCTGATCACGAGATTTCTGGCCAGATGAATTTAGGACTTGACTGCCAAAAGAAACCTTAGTTTGAGAACTTTGTAATTAGACCCATCTGGTATCCTTCAAAAGAAACAGCATTGACCCTACGGTTGCTACTATCCTGTTCTGGAACAATCTGATGGTGGTGAGCTGCATCACATCATTAAAAGGGCCATGATCACAGACATGATTGTGGAGGTAAACCAAATTCATGTTAGCTCCCACTATTTTGGGGACCCTTCCCACATTCCTTAATCATGACCGGGTTTTGGTGTCCACCCAGTTGCCACTTTGGGCCCATTAGAAGAAGGCTGGATTCTTGGGGAAAAGACAGTAATGCTGGGGAAAGCGGGCGGCAGTAGGAAAAGAGGAAGACCACGTGTGAGATGGACTTGACTCCCTGAAGGAAGCCACAGGCATCCATCTACAAGCGCTGAGCAGGGCATTGAGGACAGGACATTTTGCAACCCTAATTCATGAGGTTGCCAGGTTAGCTTGACAGCACAAAACAACAATCATTGCAAAAGCACTCTGCATTTTTTTTTGCTTTCTGAGCAGCCCTTCACACCATTTTAGGCTCAGATTTTACATGAATTCCAAAAATCGAGCCCTTTTGATCTCTGGTGGATGTTGTTGTGTGAGCTGGTGTCGCTTGACCGTCCTGAGCTGAAGCGACATATGCCCCATCGGAGGCTGACATATCTGTGTTTCCGGTTCGGGTACAGAGAGTGTTGCACCTCACACGGAGGTGGCTCTCGGTACGGTTTCTGGCTTACAGCAGCATGAACCAGAGTTCGCTCCTTGAGATCAACTGGGCTTCCTAGTGCATAAGGGAGTAGTGAATACCCCTTTACACAATCGCCAGGGAAGGACAACGATACACACCGTAGACAACTGTGGGTACAATAAAAATGAATGGGTTTCAGGCCTGAGTCTGTTCCATACTCACAAAGTAAAATAGTAGAATCATTGTTGTCATTGTGTGCCATCAAATCCATTCTGACTCATGGCAATGCTTTCCAGGTGGAAAATACACAGAAGGGGTTGACCCTTCCTTTCTTTTGGGGGCAGCCCTGGAACGGTGCAGCTGGCCCAAGGCCACCCAGGTTGGCTCTTCTCCCAGGAGGTACCGTGGGGAATCTCAGCCTCAAACTCTCGGCCTCTGGCTCCACAGCCATATACTGTAGATCTCTAAACCACTGAGCTATCCAGCTAGCTAAAAACAGAAGAACAGTAAAATATAAAATTTAGTTCAAACAGCCCCGTCCATAAAGTGCAAAGTAGGAGCCTTCATTTGGTCAAAAGCACCTTAGAACACCTTGTTCTTTAGGGATCATTTGAAAGCAAAGGGAAGGGGCCATATTCCTATTGCCAGAGAAGGCATTCTGGAAAAGTTCATCTATCCAGAAACCCGTTGATTCTGCAGATGCTGCTCTGCGGTGGCATCGTCTCATCCTTTCTTTCAGGGAGGCCCTCGGACGCATGAAGGAGGGAGAGGAAGAGAAGACCAAGACCTACAGTGCTTTAATATGGACGGAAAAAGCCGTCCAGAAGGAAGACATTGCGTTTCTAGACAATATGCAGGTAGCATGTCTGGTGTGGTATTTATCGCTGGCTTGTGGGTTCGATCGTGTGCAGGCAGGCCTTGCTTAAGCTGCATGAGGCTTGTGATGAGCGTTGTTCTTTGACAGAGGAAAGGCACAGAAGTCGGGCGGGTGGCAGACGACTCTAAGGAGCAGGGCGTTCTCCTTGCTGGGTTTAAAATGGGTTGTGAGTAAACATCATGAACTGCCAAGCACAGAGTCATGCTGTAGACTTAGAATGAGCTCGGTAGGTAATGAGCACTCCAACGTTGGAGGCATTCAGGAAAAAATGGGACCACTCTCTGTCCGATCTGCTTTGATTTGGATTCCTGCCTGAAGCAGGGGGTTGGACTCAATAGCCTTATAAACCCCTTCCAACTCGAATAGTCTATGATTCAAGGGTCATCTAGGACAGTGGTTCTCAAACTGGGGTCCCCCAGTGTTCTTGGGCTGCAATTCCCAGAAGCCTTCACCACTGGCCAGGATTTCTGGGTTTTGCAGTCGAAGAACATCTAGGGACCCAAGATTGAGAGCCACCGGTGCCAGTGCTGGAATCCAAAGTGAAATCATCTCTGACAGAGGCTCATCCAATGTCTGTTAAAATATTTCCAAAGGAGGGAAGTCTAACACTTTGTGGGGTAGTTGGTTCTATTGTCAAAGAACTTTGGAGATGGGGGAATTCTTCCTAAGGTGCACTAAAGATCCAGTAGCTCATTTGCATGGGGTTTTTAATCACGGAGCTCCCTCTAAGACGTTGCTTCAGGGCTGTCAGGTTAGGTGTTGAGCAAACTCAAAATCCACAGGCTTCTCCTGGGATTGTACGTCTTGGTCCAATTTCTTTCTAGGAAGGGTGTAATTAGAAATATTTGTATCATGGTTGCTGAAAAATCTTCTCCCATCTGGTGAAACCTAGTTTTATCCACAGATCAGATCTGGTGGCAAATTATTCTCCAAATTATATAAGTGAGAGGCCTTTTGATTCCTGCCTGGGGCTGCTGAACAGTTAGTGTTGGACACACATAGAACTGGACTTGCAGAACACAGATATTTTGATACAAAGCAAAAGCAACGTGTGCTGCTTATATATCACTCCATAGCACTTAAAGCACTCTCTGGGCGGTTTGCAGTTTAAGGCTACACATTGCCAACACACATACACACACGCTCGCGAACCTCAAGCCAGCTGCCTGGGATTGAACCCTCGCTCGTGAGCAGAGTTTTGGCTGCAGTATTGCAGTTGAACCACTGCACCACGAGGCTCCTGGAAGATTTGGATTGGGAGGTGAAGACAAAGAAGTTGTGCTTAAAGTTTGGTGTTTATCTTTAAAGCACTGTCACCTGCCCTAGATTTTGGCAAGACCTGGCAGCCTCCCTGATATGAAAGCGGCAGAGGGGAGGGGTGCTGCCAGAGGACTGCAGGAGCTAATTCTTTAGGGCTGTTTTGATCCCCGTCGGGTCCTGCAGGAGGCCTAGATGCCCAGCAGCGTTTGAATTTTCTGTCCCATGCCACCTCTTCCCGTATCTAGTTACCTTTCCGTGCGTATGTTTAAAATGTCATTTTTAAATCCTTGGGCAGGAGTTAAAGCTTGATCAAAAAACCCCACTGCGGGTCCTGCATCGGCGACCACTAGCCGTCCGGGTTCGCATCATCCACACCATGCGCTCTGAGTACATCGACGAGCATCATTTCCGTCTCCATCTGAAGACACAGGCAGGGACGTATCCTTTTCTGAGTCGTAATGTTCTGAAGATGGCTGTAACACCGTACTAGCAAACCTCTTCTCCGTTTACGGGCGATAAGAGGAGGCATGCGCATGTTCCTGAATCTCGCGTCAACAGCTTATCCTTCTTGTTTCCTTAATTGCCATCTAGCTACATCAAAGAATTTGTGCATGGGGATTTTGGAAGGACGAAACCCCATATAGGATCCCTCTTGGGGACAACAGCTGACATCCTGGAACTGGATGTGGAAGTAAGCATTTCCTCCTCTAGAGTTCCTGGGACCCCCATATCCACGGGGATTGGGTTCCAAGCTAAAAAAACACAAATTATAGCAAACACTATTGTAATACTGTAGTAAGTGCTATACATAGCGTAGTCTCTTGCTCCCTCTAATGGCCAGTTCTGGTAACTTCCGCTTTAGAAATAAATACAGTACGGTAGGTCTAGTACTTTTCTTTGAATATTTTCAGGCCATGGGTCAGTGAATCAGTGGATACTGATACCGTGGTTAAGGGGGTGTTCCTGAAATGGCCTTTTCCTTTTGTGAAATTAGTACTCTTACTAGGTGGATAACCTAGTTGAGTTTTAGGGCACTTTCTGATCCTCTGTGAATTCCTGTGGACTGAGAATTAAGAGAAGGATTGCGGTGAAGTTAAACATACACATCCATCACCCCCTTTGATTCATGGGTCTGAAGAGGAGAAACTCCATTATCCAGGGCAGGTGGGGGAGGGTTCTGTTTTGCCTTCCTTACATTCAGGGACGTGGTGGCGCTGTGGGCGTACTCTTACTAGGTGGATAACTTATTTTATATATTTTGAGTTTTAGGGTACTTTCTGATCCTCTGTGAATTCCTGTGGACTGAGAATTTAGGATTGCGGTGGAGTTAAACATACACATCCATTACCCCCCTTTGATTAATGAGTCTGAACAGGAGAAACTCCATTATCCAGGGCAGGTGGGGGAGGGCTCTGTTTTGCCTTCCTTACATTCAGGGCAACAAAACCAGTTGGAGGAAGGATTGCCTATCCACTTATATTCATATTTTCTGCTATATCATTTACAACCCTTCCAGGTATCAGAGTTGTCTGCTTTTAGGTCTCGTTTTGTGTCCCTTCTGTCACGAAACATGACCCCGAGGAACTCAAAATGTCCCACCTGGGCGGAGAAGGGAGAGTATCACACCCGGAGCACATTCTTTTCAAGCTTCTGAGTGCTGGCCTGATCCAGCCTATTTCATCTCTGGCAAGCTATGTGGCTTCTTGCAGTACATCCACTCCCTTCCTAAGAAGCCTGCCTGGTTGACCCAGAGATTCAGTGAGCAGGTTTCCAGGTTCAGCAAGAGTATTCCCAAGAGGAAAGGATAAGCAAAAACTTAGTGTATCCTGATTGTCATATTTTGCCATTTTGTATTGGGTCTTAGGAATCTGGTTTGCAATTTATTAGTTCACGTTGCTTACTGCTCTTCTCCCCTGAAGGGCTCAGAACCCCAGTCCTCTCCTTCCCATCGGGGCAACATCCAGACAATATCTTCTTGTCTTCAGAGACAAAATCTGCAATTCTGGGCATTCGGCCCATTTTCTGATTATGGATCCAGACGAATGGCTGGATAGCTCAGCAGTTTAGGCCTTCGGCTGCCGATCCAGAGGTTGGGAGTTCGATTCCCGCCCTTGACAAGGGTTGGACCCCATGATCCACGAGGTCCCTTCCAGCTCCGCAGTTATAAGGTGATGATGTACAGAGAATAAAGGGGTTCTCCCAGTCCTAACACCAGTATGGTTTGTTTCTCCTTACAGTCCGTGGACGCGGATTGGCCTCCGACTCTGGACGATTAATGGACCGTTTGATTTTTCAAGATGGGAAAGCTTTGAGGAATGGCAGTCTCCACGGAACGCAACAGACAACGAAAGCGACTTGCATTGCCCCGGTTGTTTTCTGGAGTGTTTTAGATCATGTTGATCTGTCCCAGGTTTCTTTGTTTTATAATTAAGCAGTGTTGGTTGAATGAGCCTTAAACACGGAGAAGAATACAATGGGACCTGCCTTCTGCGGCTGGCAGGGCTTTAAATTTCCAGCAGATGCCTTCTCCTGGGTTGAGGGAGTTCCTGTTTGCCGCCCTCACCCCATTGACAGCTGTCCAGCCTTTTGTGTGGCATTTTCAAAGGTCTGGAATGGAGGCTTTCAGCAGCCCAGTTGCACCTTCTCAAATATGGACTGAAACTCTAGTCTTTTGACCAGGTTTACCCTCATCATGTAAATACATTCCTTGCCACCAAAGACCGAGATCTTCCACACTCTTGTCTTTCCGATTCAGGCATGAAAGCTGGACCGTGAAGAAAGCGGATGGGGGAAAAGAAACCTGATTGGTTTGAAAAGTGTTTCTGCAGAAAAGCTTGGACTGCCAGAAAGACAAACGAGCGAGCCCTAAATTGAAACAGACCTAGAGGCAAAAGCACTGAAGCGGAGGCTGCCCTACATGTCAGGAGAAGGCAGGATTCTCTAAAACGGACAAGAATGCTGGGGAAAGTGGAAGGCAGCAGGAAAAGAGGAAGACCGGGCACAAGATAGACTAACTCCCTAAAGGAAACCATAGGCTTGAGTTTACAAGAGGTGATCAGTCCTGTTGAGGACAAGATTCCAGAGATCAGTCCTTCGCAGGGTCACCGTGAGTCAGAGACAACTTGACAACACAAAAAAAAAATTCTTGCAAAATCCCATCTCATGGATTTTCCAGCTAAGAAGGCAGATTGGAAACTGGTGTGGAGGTTAACTCCCACCAGGAACAACTGACTGTGGGCCCCCCACCCCACCCCCAGACATCCTTGGCTCCAAAGATCAAAAGACACAGAAGGAGATCTTTGTTAATTCTGGCAAAAGCTTTCTGTTCATTTACTCAAATGCAGTGGTGTTCACCGCAGGTGGAAGCAGACAGAGGCCACTTTGCCAGGCCCAAGGGGCATTTTTACCTTCTAGGTCTCTTGCAGGCCATACCTGCACCTCAACCCATCCACTAGACTCCGTCTGGAAAGCAGCTTTCGCCCCAAAAAATGGCTGACTGCAATAGATATATGTGTGTGTGTTTGTGTATATATAGTACCTCCAGGTAAGGGAGTAGCAAGATCATGGCAGCCGTCAAGATCCTTCAACCCCTTTAGGGGCCGGGCAAATTGTTAGCCTGTGGCAGTCATTGCTGAACAGCCTTACAGCTCCGTCCTGCACATCTTTACTCAGAAGCAAACCCCATTGATTTAATTTCCCCCCCTCGCCCCCCCCCCCATGGACCGTGCCTATGATGGCAGCCTCAGTCTTGAATATGTACCATTATTGACCTAATCCTAAATACAGAGGTCTTCACGGCCAAGCAGTGACCTAGAGGGGATCTCTGGACTTCTGAAATAGTAGCATTTGACCAGTGTCATCTACCAGGAAAGAAAGAAGATCACGTGATAGGTAGAGCAAGTTGGGATGCGGGATAAAGCAGAGCTCCACGTTCTTTTAAATAAAGAAACTAAAAGGTTTTTTTCCCTTTATAATTCTTTGCTTCATTGCTGCAGTGTTTCTTTTTACACACACACCTGTTCTATCTATATCTATCTATGACCAATGGGGTCTGCGCCAAAATGTTGCAGAGAAAGAAGATCACGTGATAGGTAGAGCAAGTTGGGATGCGGGATAAAGCAGAGCTCCACGTTCTTTTAAATAAAGAAACTAAAAGGTTTTTTTCCCTTTATAATTCTTTGCTTCATTGCTGCAGTGTTTCTTTTTACACACACACCTGTTCTATCTATATCTATCTATGACCAATGGGGTCTGCGCCAAAATGTTGCAGAATGGATCCTTCTTTCAAGATACGCTGTTTTGGTCACATTCTTTGCTTAAATTCTCAGCAAGGGGCTTAAGAATTCTTTAAAAGATGGTTGTTATTGCTGTTCTGTAAACCATAAAGTTGTGGGACGCGGTGGCGCTGTGGGTTAAACCCCAGAAGCCTCTGGGCTGCAAGGTTGGAAGACCAGCCATCGTAAGATCGAATCCATGCGACGGAGTGAGTTCCCATCGCTTGTCCCAGCTCCTGCCAACCTAGCCATTTGAAAGTATGTAAATACAGTGGTGCCTCGCTTAACGATGATAATTGGTTCCCAAAAAATCGCTGTTAAGCGATTTCATCACTAAGCAAAACACGGTTTCCCATAGAAATGCATTGAAAACCGGATAATCTGTTCCAATGGGAACGGATTGCTGTGCTTAAACGAAAATCGCCATAGGAAACATCGCTAAGCGAAACACGGTTCCCCAATTGAAATGCATTGAAACCTATTCAATGCATCTCAATGAGGAAAAAAAATTACAACAAATTTAAAAAGAGTCGGAACAAAGTCAAATTAGTTTAACAAAGGGTTTATTAAGTGCACTTATGATTTCAAGCATTCTAAACATTTTTTAAACATTTTTAAACATTTAAAAAACAGCCAACATGAGGCTGTCAAAACCATCGTTAAGCGAAGCTGTCGTCGCTATGCGAACCATGATCCCAAACATCGCTATACAAAAATTGCCCATAGGAACCATCGTTAAACGGGGCCCATAGGAACCATCAAACGGAGCACAAGATTGCTCTGAAAAAGTCTTCGCTAAGCGATTTCATTGTTAAACGAAGCAGTCACTAAGCGAGGCACCACTGTACTAGTTAGATAAATAGGTACCACCTTGGGAAGGTCGTGGCATTCCGTGTCTAGTTGCGCTGGCCACATGACCATGGAAACTGTCTATGGACAAACGCACCCTCCAGTCAGACAGGACTGGACTAAATGTCAAGGGGAACCTTTACCTTAAACCTTGAAGTTATTCCAAGCTTGCTGATACTGATGGCTGTTCTCCACCAAGAGAAGCTGAATCCTGTACCCTTGATAATTGCACTCATTTTTATCCTATTGTGAATTATTCATTCTGATTTTGTTAGTTGCAGGAAAAAAGAGAGAAGGCATGACAGGAGGCACTGGTAGTCTTCTCCCAACTGATGTAAATCCTCGCTTAGCAGCAGTTCTTTCTCCTGAGATTTTAGCAACCATCGCTCATTTATTCGCATGTGTATTCGCGTTGGGGTGTTTTCGGTAAAACATTGAATACAGGTGCCCGCGGGGACCTTGATGAAGACTATTTGGAAAACTCTGCAGTTCTAAATTTCACCGCAAGGATTTTTACTGGAATCAAAAGGTGGGGAAATATTGCAATCTTCATACGATGCCTTTAAGAAATAGGTTGTGACTAGCAGGGACCTTTTTGGGCTAGGATCACGGTCAAACAATCCAGCAGCCACTGATTGTTCCCTCTCTGCCTCAGAGTTTTGAAGAGAGCCATGCCTCTCTGCTCAGTTCTTTTTCCAACCGGGAATCAAGAGTTGCATACTCAAAAGTCAGCTATGGATTCAGTAAGTCAACCATGTAGTTATGAAGCTATGAATCAGTTAAGATCTGTTCATGTTGGGCTAGGATCACGGTCAAACAATCCAGCAGCCACTGATTGTTCCCTCTCTGCCTCAGAGTTTTGAAGAGAGCCATGCCTCTCTGCTCAGTTCTTTTTCCAACCGGGAATCAAGAGTTGCATACTCAAAAGTCAGCTATGGATTCAGTAAGTCAACCATGTAGTTATGAAGCTATGAATCAGTTAAGATCTGTTCATGTAACCAATCAAAAATAGATAGTTATGAAGCTATGAATCAGTTAAGCTCTGTTCATGTAACCAATCATATGCTGTTTTGGATCTACCTAGAATGGTGAGTAAGCAGAACTTTTAATTTTTTTCTCTTATCTGTGTCTACAAGAGTTATTAAGCGCCAGTTGAGGAGAACAAGAAATAAGGGGGTGGTCTCCTTGAGGGGGGACGTAAAGCTAATTCTGCTCAGTAGGTCCCTGAACCTTTTTCTGCAGCATAGAGGTTATTAAGCCACCAAATGCCACACTCTATCAAAAGGATCGGTAGTACGGTAAATGGAGATGTGTGGAAGGCATTTATAACAATTACCTTAGTACCTGGAGTTGCCCACCAGAAGCACAACTGACCAGTGCTTAAATCGTTCCCATAGTATTTGGAAACAATTCAAAGAGTCGTAACTGATAAAGTTGCATACAAACCAAATTGAAAATCAAACCTATTGAATTTTCACAGAAATTTAATTTTTGAACTGTCAGACATTTGTGCTGCCGAGCTTTCACTGTTCTCTGGTTTTTAAAATTTTTGTTGTTTAGTCGTTAAGTCGTGAGACATTTATTGCTGCTGAGCTTTCACTGTTCTCTGGTTTTGAAAAATTTTGTTGTTTAGTCGTTAAGTGGTGTCCAACTCTTTGTGACCCCATGGACCAGAGCACGCCAGGCCCTCCTGTCTTCCACTGCCTCCCGGAGTTTGGGCAAATTCATGTTGGTCACTTCAATGACCCTGTCCAACCATCACGTCCTCTGTCGTCCCCTTCTCCTCTTGCCTTCACACTTTCCCAACATCAGGGGCTTTTCCAGGGAGTCTTCTCTTCTCATGAGATGGCCAAAGTCTTGGAGCCTCAGCTTCAGGATTTAAAAAATTACTTACTCTCATTTTATTATCAGTTTAAAAGCTGCCCTGGGAATATTTTGGATGACAGACTTTTAAAAATAAACCACCCAGTTTACCTGCCAACTAAACTTTTCACATGAAGGGGATCCCTAAGACTATACGATATTGAGCTGTTTCCTCTCAGTGGGTGGGAGCAAAAGAGGTCTCCTCGTGGCAGCTTCTGGGTCATCCAACCTAATCTCTTTCAGTTCATAAAAACTGCAGAAATTCTCAGTTCCAGCTCCTTTCCTACACAACACAACCAGCAAAGTGGAACTGAATAGTAACAACGTGTACCAGATGTCCAGGTAGCTTTGCATCTTTCCAGAAAAGCCTAGAAAAGTTGTAGACAACATCTCTTATTTGGCCATGATGGGTGATTCTTGAAATGGTCGTTCCAAGAACATCCCCAGGCTGCTTTCTTTAAGTTGCTTCTCAGAAATGCTTTTATTTCAAATGCTGACTGGTCTCTGAAGCTGAGCCAATTTAGACCTAAGCATTTGACTTTTTAATTGCTATTTATTGGTGCTATTTATTGAGGAGTCCCTAGGTACAGTGGTTAAGCTTACGATGCCCCTCCTAGGGTTTTCAAGGTAGAAAGTACTCAGAGGTGTTTTGCCTGGGCCTCCTTCTGGCTGTGCTCTGAGATGGTATAGCCTGTCCAATGCCAAGCAGCTGGCAGGGCACATAATCCCATCAGCCACATGTATTCAGGGTGAGCTTGCTTGGCTTATATCAGTAAGAGTTATACCAGCTTACATTTATGAAAGAAAAATGAAGAAATGCACAAATAATATACAATAGAACCCCCATCTCCAGGGAATCAGTATTTGTGGATTCACTTCTCCATGGTGTGAAAATATTTTTTGAAAATCCTAGAAATGTGTGCTTCTAAAGAAGATACTTGAACTAGCCACTAGAGGGAGTGAGAGACCATGCTATGTACAGTACAGTATTGTGTTTGCTAGAGAAAAATATTTCTGCAATGTCAGAATTGGCCATTAGGGGGAGCCAGAGCTCATGTTCTGCCTGTTCACAATGAAAATAGTGTTTGCTATAATCCACATTTTTGTTCACGATGAAAATAGTGTTTGCTACAATCCACATTTTTTCAGCACTCATCCACAGAGGCTTGCAGCTGATCTCCTGGGGATGTGGGGTCCCTACTGTACAATAACGTCAACATAATAGTGGTAGCGGCTTCGATTCATAGAGCTTCATAATCAAATAAGAATAAAAGACATTAAGAATAGAATCACAATTGGGCTACCAATTAAAATATTTTTCCCAAAAAATCTTATTTATTTACAATAGCAAAATTCTTAAGAAAAAATCATAATAAGAATGCCATAGGTAGTAAAATATTTAACAGTGTATTAATAACATGAGAACTTAAGTTTTCAAATCCCTGAAAATCATTCCAATTACTGTATGCATTGAGCTGCCTCTTGTGCATTTTATTGCAAATAAGTAGAAAAAGGTTTGGGTTTTTTTTCCTTTTTCAAATCTTCTCCCCTCAAGTTGCCTAATACAAAACAAACAAACCATCCAAGGATTTAAAGCTTGTTTTGGATTTCGTTGAATCTTGTCAACTGGAGAAAAGAAGCATCCGTGTTTGGAAAAATTGAGGGTTTTTGGAAAACAGCTGTCAGAACCCCTGGACTGTCATAGCAGTGGCCAAGGGGGTGGCTGGGGGAGTTCAGGAAACCTTAGTCTAAAAGGGAAGAAGGGACACCCACAGACACATCCCCCAGACTTCCAAAGTCTGGAAGCACCACACACACACACAAAAAGATGGGCTGCCCCAAAGCTTCTGAACCCATCTTTGGAAGCTTATTTGCTACATGTTCTTGCATGGATGGGAAACACAGCATCCATCCCCATAAACATGGCACCCATTGAATGCTTTCTTGAAGGGCTACCTCGCTCCTTGCACCAGGCCAAGGGAACA